CACTGATTCTAAAACAGTCTGTAAACATGGTTAGTTTAAAAAATTCTCAACTGCAAAAACAGCCTGTTTAGAATTCAGTTTTGTGATGTCACAAAAAAACTATACAATTACATGTCCTCTTAATCAATCACCAGTAGTTTAGCTCCACCCATTCATCCATCAGCTGTTCATCCCAATTCTTAAACTTCAGATTTAATTATTCAGTATCTACTATGAATTATTCAGTATCTACTATGAATTATTCAGTATTTATGAATTATTCAGTATCTACTATGAATTATTCAGTAACCACAATGAATTTTTCAGAATCCGCTATGAATTATTGATAGAATGAATTCATATGAATTACTACAGCGAAAGGAAAAGCTGATAAAGCTCAGTTACACTCACTGAACCTCTCACACAGCAAAGGTCACTCAGGGTCAGCGTATCTGTCTGACCCTGAGACACACTCAGTGACCCCTCCCTCCCTCCAGACACGACCCAGATGTGGGTTAATCAGTCATTGCAAAGGCTAACAAGGGTCAGCACGGCGGTACGTCATCGCGTTGAGATAAAGAGCGTCTCATCCTGCTGTTCTGAGTAAACAATGCAGACGGTCAGTATTAAAGAACACTGGACAGCACGCTTCACTATGAGGAGCAGAAGGATTAAGTCCAGTGAGTGAAACACTGAATAAAAATCATTCATATTCAGAGCCTTTTACAAATGAGAAAATACAAAGATGATTTACATTAAAATTTAAAAAGATGTAGAACAGAAATTAGAATATGATTAAAACATGATTAAAAGAAGATTTAATACAGAAGAAATTACACATTAAATGAAAAATGAGATGAGGATGGTATGTGCTGCTACAGGACAGACGTGCAGTACAGCTACAGTGGAGTAGAGTGTTTAAGACTGAGCTCTGTTAGATGTTCATTTATGGAATAACTCTAGAAAAGTGCATCAACAGTCAGAACTGAGTTTTCAGCTGTATTGTTTAAAATCACTGATACTTTTTAGAGTGTACATAATACGCAGGGCGCTGTGAGGCAAAATAGTCCGCAAAGGAAACGTATTATTTCAGATTTTCCACTATTTTCCATCATCAACATCATAGAGACTCAGATGTCTTTACAGTGGTGGTGATAGGAACCAGGGGTCGCCATGACTACAACACAAATATAGACATTTTATTTACTATCCAGAACCACCAGTGAACCTACACGAGTCTTCTGAGTTTATATGGAATGTTGATGATGGAAAATAGTGGAAAATCTGGAATAATAAGTTTTCTTTGGGGACTATTTTGCCTCACAGCGCCCTGCATGTATCCCTCCACCATGAATGGAGTTTAAGTTCTCTAAACTATCATAAAACAGTGTCTCAGTCATCAGGCAGTGAATTCATAACCATCTCATGTAGGAACTTTCTGTGAGGGAGCTTTTAGAGGTGGACGTCTGGTTCCTATCACCACCACTGTGAACAGTTCTGACTCGGTAAGATTATCTAGAACAAAGAACGACTCTGAACCACTCTGATTGCATCTTAACAATTATGGGGGAATTTTGGAAAATTGGTGGAGTTCCCCTTTAAAGGGTTAAACAGAGGTGCAAGGGTCACATAGACTAGTAAAGAGGAGCCTCGTGCACTACTCTGTCCAGTGAAATCACCAAAAAAACTACATCATACACACAGACCCTGCATGCATGCACGTGCATCCATAAAAATGAGCCAACGCGTTACTATTGCTGCTACTCAGAGACCCGCCGCGCGCGCGATCATCACAGACCTGTCAGTGGTAAATCAGCAGCACGCGCTGGCACTGCTACTGCTGTGCTGCCTTTGTCGTCGATTTAGGACATTTCTGTCTCGCTCGTGCACCTCACCAGCAAGCGCGCGCCTCCTCTTTTGCAAAACAGTCCTTAAATCTTACGCATGCACGCGCTCATCCTTTAAAAAACTCCGCGTCTCCCAAAAACAATGCCCCCAAAAAATCCAGTACCGTCTCTGCAGATGTCCCTCGATGCATTGCGTGCACGCTCCCCCCACCCGCGTGCACAAAAATAGTGCGACCAATAAATTATTTAGCTCCACATTCCGTGAGGATGCACCGCGCGCGCTCCAGTTGCCCTGCGGATGGTGATGCGTGCGTGCATGCATGCACGAGCGGGAGGGGGGGGGTAATATTTTGCAAGCACGCATGCACATGCACGATTAACGCTGTTTGCTTTTTTGTCTTTTTTGCATGCACATGCACTTTAATGCTATTTTTTGCATGCACGCGCATGCAAGATGAGCGCTCGTGCCACGTGGTCTTATTTTGCACGCTGCATCAGATGCATTAAAGCCCCCCCTTCGCTCCTTTTTAGGGATTTTTTAGGAATGTAAGGATCCCTCCATCAACAGGTCATCCCAGGACAAATGCAGCAATCAGGAGGGGAGGGGTGCAGACTGCACTCCGAGGGGAGGGGAGGGGCAGGCAGGCGCGAGACGCGTGCTAAAAACACACAGCTTTACTGTTTAATAACTTTATTTCTGCAGCTGTTATTAGTTATGAAAGTTGTAATAAAAGAAGAAATAAATGCGTGCAGTGGGGCGCGAGGAAGTTTCCCCGCCCACTGACCCCTTTAGCACGAGGCTGAAGTTGGCTTCTCATTCGAATTGTACCGTTCCACCTTAAATGGTGCAGCAGTGACTGTGACAGTGCCTGAGGCGCCAGAATGTAACTGCTGCACCATTTAAGGTGGAACGGTACAATTCGAATGAGAAGCCAACTTCAGCCTCGTGCACGCTTTCCCCAAAACATACCCCAACAAAAACCACCTCAAATGCCCCTCCACGTGCCCCAATACCCCTCCTCCCTCCAGACTCACCCCCTCAGTATGTGAGTGATGCAGCAGCTCCTGTGTCTCTCCTGCCGGGCGGCCATTCGTGGAGCGCGCAGGAGCGCGAGCCGAGCGCAGAGAAATGGAGGCACGAGCAAATCCCAAAAGGAGGAGCACCGAGCTACTGATTATTAACTGATCATACATGAACATACTGTACATATACAGTCAGACACGGGGGGTGTGGGGGGGGGTGGTACATGTGTGTTCAGGGTCGATATGGTTTTTATTCTGAGCTGCAGTTTCGATATTTTCCGTGTCGAAAGTGCGTCATTCTGCAGAGCGCTGGTTATATTATACATACGAAAAAAAAGCCCAGTCATTTCTGAGTGGGCGTGTTCATAGCATAAGCTCCGCCCACGACCGCTCTGATAGGGTGCTCACAGACGCGTAAGTGCCGCTAGCCCAACCTACTTTGTTCCAATAGGATGCACAAGCCCCGCCCCTCCCCGCCTACTTTAACCTGGTCGTTGACAGGGAACAAGGTGATGATGCTGATGGTGGTGAGGATGATGGTAATGATGAAGGTAATAATGGTGGTGATGATAGTGATGATGATTATGATGTTAGAGGTGGTGACAGTGGTGATAGTGATTGTGGTTGCGATGATGATGATGATGGTTGTGATGATGATGATGGTTGTGATGATAGCAATGATAATGATGGTAATAATATTGCTGATTATGTTAATGGAAATGATGATGATAGTGGTGGTGATAATAATAGTGATGAAGATGATGATGACCATGATGATGGTGATGGTGATGAGAATAATGACAATGGCGATGGTGATGATAATGATGATGATGATGTTGGTGATGATGGTGATGACGATAATGAGGATGATGGTGATGAGAATAGCAATGATAATGGTGATGACAATAATGACGGTGATGGTGATGACAATGATGATGGTGATTGTGGTGATGATAGCAATGATGATTGAAGGTGATGACAATAATGATGATGATGGTGATGATGACAATGATGATGGTGATGATGATAATGATGGTGATGATGGTGATTGTGATTGTGGTGATGATGATGATGATGATGGTGATTGTGGTGATGATAATGATGATGATAATGATGATGATGATGACAATGATGATGATGACTGATGATGATGGTGATTGTGGTGATGATAACAATGATGATGGTGATGGTGATGACAATGATGATGATGTTGATGACTGATGATGATGGTGATTGTGGTGATGATGATGATGATGGTGATTGTGGTGATGATGATGATGATGAAGATGATGATGATGACAATGATGATGATTATGGTGATTGTGGTGATGATAATGATGTTGATGACTGATGATGACGGTGATTGTGGTGATGATAACAATGACGGTGATTGTGGTGATGATAACAATGATGATGGTGATGGTGATGACAATGATGATGGTGATGGTGATGATGAGAATGATGATGATGATGATGATGACTGATGATGATGGTGATTGTGGTGATGATAATGATGATGGTGATTGTGGTGATGATAACAATGATGATGGTGATTGTGGTGATGATAATGATGATGGTGATGATAATGGCAGTGATGACAGTGGTGCTGGTGGTGGTGATGACAGTGATGTTGAGGATGGTGATGAATTTAATGATAATTTTAATGATTATGGTGTTCAAATATTTACAATATATAACAGCAAATTAAGTAGTTATAGTATTTAACACCACATTAAATACAGTTCCTAATTAAATATTCACATTGTGTTTACATCCCCCATAATTCCCGCGCTGTACAGTAAACACATCATTCACATAGTTAAAATGGCATATTTTATTCAGGTATTGATTAATTCATTCATCAAGTTATCTAAACCAGATTGATTTCTCTCCTCATTAATATTATAATCTTCCGATATTTGCATAATAACCCCGCCCCTTTCCCTCGCCTCGTTGTGCCTCAGTGCGGCTGCTCTTGTTCGAGTTAACCGTCATTCTAAAGTGAAATAATCTAAACTGAGACGGAGATCTGATGTTCCGCGTCCTCGCGTCACACTGCGCTCTAGATATCACCCCACTGCGCATGCGCGGGAGTCTAGCTTTTTCTCGCTTTTTGCCTCTGCTTAGGTCTCTCGCAGCTTCCGTAGGAAAGGGAAGCGCGTGTCCATGTGACGACAGCAGCCGCGGCAGCTCGTGCTAAGAGAAACACTCACGTGCTTCGGTGCTACAGCTGCGCCGGTCCGCGGGGTAAGAGGGCGACGGGTCCGCCTGCGCGCGCCTGCTGGGGTAATCGGGGCAGGTTTGGGGCCGGTTAGCTAACGCTAACTGGAGCTGGAGCTTCGGGGTGAAGTTAGCTTCTCCGGTCCACCTTAAATGGTGCCGCAGTTACCCGTCAGCTCCGCAGCCCGAGGCGCCAGACTGTAACTGCGGCTCCCTTTAAGGTGGACCGGAGAATTGTAGAACGGAGCTGGAGTGAAAGAAGCCCGAGTCAGATTAGAGCAGTTTAGTACCTAATCCCGTATTTGGGCTTCATTTAGCGCCGGGCTGCTTTCCTGCTGCTCACAGCTCCCACTGTAGAGCCCCAACATCTCAGTCTAGACCGGAGAGACGCAGAGCTGTTCAGACTTCACTTCCTGAGCTGAGGACCCAGACACCAAGTCCTCAGTTACAGCCCGAGTTTTGTTGTGTTTTGTTTTTGTTTTTTTGGTTTGTCTTATTATTATTTTTTATTTTTTGTGATAATTTATTTTAATTATTTTGTGCTTTTTTAAATTTATTTATTATTTTCAGGTATTATTTTTTATTTTGTGTGTTTTTTCATTATCCATTTTAAAATGACCACTTAAGATAGACTCACACAGGCATGTATCTAGTTAAAGGGGAACTCCACCCATTTTCCAAATGTTCTGCCTAATTAAACAGTTAAGATGTAAACAGAGTGGTTTGGTGTGAAACGCTCTGTTCTAGATAAACATACAGAGTCAGAACTGTTCACAGTGGTGGTGATAGGAACCAGACGTCCACCTCTAAAAGCTCCCTCACAGATATTTAGCATTTACAAAAAAGGCACCCAACTAAGAAGTAGTGAAGGGAACAATAAAACACGGGTGTGTTGCTTTTCAGCCAATCAGATTGTGTGGGCGGAGCTAACTCGTATAGCTGCTTTTATCTGTTCACAAACTAATCTGCACTTGTAGGGTTTGTATTGTTGTACATGGTTCTATATAGCACCAAAAGGGTTCTTGTATTATTACAATCTCAAGCTTGTAATGATAGCAGAAATCTTTTTGGTGCTATATAGAACCATATCCAGCACTTTCTCCATCAATCTGAAGAACCATTTCACCATGTAAAGAACCCTTTAATTATGCAGATAGTTCGCTGAGTGTTCATAGTTCCATATAGAACCACTGTCTTTACTAAAGAACCATCTATTTAGGAGCGTAGATGCCATTGGTCACAAGCTCACTCCATGTTCCGTGTTCTACCAGGTAAAATCAGAGCCGTTTGGGGTTCTATGCGGCTGACTGTGGTGCTGCTTGCGGCTCAGACGGCACTGAGGATCTCACCTCGACCGCTAACTTCTAAAGCAGCTGTGTTTAGGGTCCCCTGGCCAGGCCCGCAGAGACGGTTCAGGACCATGGAGACCAGCGAAGACCCTCAGGACCCCCAGAACAACATTAGTAAGTCAGCAAGTGATGTCACTGCCCCCACAGAACCCAGAGAACCCACAGAGGAATCACAAAGCAGCCTGGATGCTCCTGCAGAACCTGGGCTGATGCCGGGAGAGACGGTGGTCAGAGAGGGGAAGGCGGCGATTTTGTTCCCCAGCGCTAACGAGGTGTTTTACAACCCCGTCCAGGAGTTCAACAGAGACTTAACGTAAGATCATCATCAACCAATCAGCGCTCAGTAGCAGTAACGCTAACCAATCAGCGCTCAGTAGCAGTAACGCTAAACAATCAGCGCTCAGTAGCAGTAACGTGCTGCCCCCTGCAGGTGTGCGGTGATGACGGAGTTTGCGCGGGAGACGCTCGCTCAGAGAGGCGTACGCATCATCGTTCCCGGGGAGAAGGAGAGAGTGGTGGTCCGTCTGGCGGACGAGAAGAACGGCGGGGAGGCAGAGGGAGCGACAGAGCAGGGAGAGAGAGAGGAGAAGAAAGAGGAGGCGGAGTTTAGGACCACGTCTGTTGGAGAGCGCTGTGAGGTGAGGAGGTTCTACCTGATGTGGCTTTGTGCTTATGGAGATGTATGCTAATGAGGCTGATTAGCATGTATCTCCATGACCAATTAGCATGGTGCTAACTGCATGCCTAAACTGTGTTAGTGAAGTTGGCTTCCAATTCACCAGCTTCTTATTGGAATTGTTCGGTCCACCTTAAATAGTGCAGCAGTTACATTCTGGCGCCTGAGGGCAGCAGAATGTAACAGCTGCACCGTTTAAGGTGGACCGGACAATTCCTGAGATTAGATCTAATCTAATTCAAACAAAATAACTTCTCGTGTGTGTGTGTGTGTGTGTGTGTGTGTGTGTGTGTGTGTAGGACGGTCTGCGTGTGTTAGAGGGACTAGCCGCATCTGGTCTGCGTTCCGTCCGGTTCTCTCTGGAGGTTCCGGGGCTGAAGAGCGTAACAGCGAACGACTGCTCCGCTAAAGCCGCCGCGCTGATCGCCCGAAACGCCAAACACAACAACGTCACACACCTGCTGGAGGCCAGCCAGAGAGACGCCAGGTCACACACACACACACACACACACACACATACACACACACACAGCTTCTAGTTTAACCTGGGGGTGGGCGATATTAAAGGGCCCATATCCTGCTTTTTTACTGTATTATGTTTTCTAACATTTATGAAATTTTATGTACCAAAATTAGCCATAATTAATTTTTACCTGGTCATTTTCCAACTTTATTCCTTACAGTTTCAGGCTTTTTGTTACTGTGCTTTTAAGACTGATATATGTAAATGAGCTCTGTTTTGGTTGGCTGAATGCCTCTTTTGCAAAGCACTCAGAGCTGGAACACTATAACTTCAGTGTGAGTGGGCGGGGCCAAACTGCTGTCGAAACTACAAAAACAACCTGTATTGACGTCACAAAAACAGGGTCGCAATTACAAACATCTACCCATTTAGCCTACAGCAGTTTAGCCCCGCCCACTCACACTGAAGTAATAGGGATGTGTTTCAGCCCAGAGACACATTACAGGACAGCCAATCCTAACAGAGCTCATTTACATATATATCAGTCTTAAAGGTGCAGTAACAGAAGCAGCTGGTTTAATAAAAGAATAAAGAGAGGCTGGGAAATGCTTCTGAATTATAACCGATTTTGGTATCGTGTTATTCCGGCCGTATCGTCCTGCCCGGCGCTGACCGTTCATTCTGAGTGAGTCTTTAAAGGACTGTGTTCTGTTTTAAAGGTAAACGTCTCCACGTTTCTGCAGGTTCTGATCAGGGCTGGTGTTGTTGCCGTTGTTTTTGTTTAGCATGTTGATGTATGAGGCCAGAGGGAGGAAGGAGCGCTATGACGTCATCGACCTCGACCCATATGGAAGCCCCGCCCCCTTCCTGGACGCTGCAGTTCAGGCCGTCAGCGAGGGAGGTGAGTTCAGGTCTCGTCCCAGTTCAGACACGAGCCCTTATTCCCTCCACTGAGACTGCACTGCTCTCATGGACCGGTATGACCACTGTTTGATGCTGTGTGACCCTTGTATGACACTGTGTGACCCTTTATGATGCTGTATGACCCCTGTATGACCCTTTTTGACCTTGTGTGACCCCTGTATGACCCTTTTTGACCTCATAGGATCCCTGTTGGACCGCTGTATGATCCCTGAACGACCCCTGTATGATCCCTGTATGACTGCTGTATGGCCCCTGTATGAACCCTGTATGACCGCTGTATGACTCTTGTATGGTCCCTGTATGGCGCTGTATGACGTTGTACGACCCATGTATGATGCTGTATGGTCCCTATGAGGTCCCTGTATGATGCTATACGACCCCTGTATGACTGCTGTATGACCTCTGTATGCTGTATAATGCTGTATGACATTGTATGACCCCTGTATGACCGCTGTATGCCATATGACTGCTGTGTGACCCCTATATGGCCACTGTATGACGCTGTTTGATCCCCGTATGTCTGCTGTATGACCCCTGTACGACGCTGTATGACCACTGTATGCTGTATGACTGCTGTATGACCACTGTATGACCCCTGTCTGACCCCTCAGGGCTGCTGTGCATTACGTGTACGGACATGGCGGTGATGGCGGGGAACAGCGGAGAAACCTGCTACAGTAAATACGGCTCAGTGTCCATCAAATCCAAGTACTGCCACGAGATGGTGAGGAACCTTCGGTCAGGAGAACCTGAATTACTGTTCTTGTGTATTAAAGTCCCAAAGAACCTCAGTCTGAGTTCTGTTTGTAGTAGATTAATTGTGCTGTTGTGGGCCACAGTATACACATACAGAGTGTGGACTAAATGACTGTATTTCACCAAAATTCCTCTTTCGTTAAGTGGGCGGTCCTTATCTTCAGTAGTGCTTACGTAAGCAGTATCCTCACCAGTCAGAAGGCTGGTGTGGTTTGCCCCGCCCACACAGCTTTAACTAAACTGTGTTGGGTCCCTGAGTTTGAGTCGCCAAGCGAAAGCATAACTGAGCTAAACTGAGGTTTAATAAGTCATAGGTTTCGGACTGTTGATGTCAGATATACGAGGTTTTCAGGGATTATGTGATCTAAGATCTCTTTAACAGCCGAAACAGAAACAGATTTTCTATTGGAAATTATTTTGTAATGTTTTGGAAATTTATCTCCTTCTGTCTCCACACTGAAGCACATCAGAGCTTCACGATGTTGGTGTTTATTACTCATCTTGCAGTGTTTGTTTGGGTATTAATCAAAAAGAAATACACGCTTCTGAGATATGAGCTCCTGCAAAATAATGACAGTGGCGTCTTTCCTAAAGCTAATTGGTCATATCTGAAAAATCCCACCATAAAATTATTCACCGTATTAAATGAGTGCTGTTCAATTAGCAAATGCACCAAATATGACGTTTGAACGTTGAGTCAAATTATATTTATTGAGATTATAAATGGACCTCGAACGCTTTGTTCTATACAAAAACAACCTGTTTTAGGTAATTAATAACTATAACTTATCAAATTTGCACTCTCAGGGTAACCAGTTAAAGCCCCGCCCACCTTTTATAACCTCTCAGAAACGGATGAAGATTATAGGTCTAAAATTCTGCAGAGTGTCTGTTGGGCAGAATGTGATCATTTCCTGAAAATAATATTGTAGATGCTGTTTATGTTTATGTTGTGCATCTTTAGGCTCTGCGGATCATCCTGCACTCTCTGGATCAGCGCGCCAACGTTTATCAGCGCTACATTGAGCCTCTGCTGAGCGTCAGCGTCGACTTCTACATCCGAGTGTTCGTCAGAGTCCGAACAGGACAAGCTAAAGTCAAAAACTCAGCCAGGTGATATATAACCTCACACAACAGACTAAAGATATACACTCAGACAGGTAATATATAACCTCACACAACAGACTAAAGATATACACTCAGACAGGTAATATATAACCTCACACAACAGACTAAAGATATACACTCAGACAGGAAATATATAACCTCACACAACAGACTAAAGATATACACTCAGACAGGAAATATATAACCTCACACAACAGACTAAAGATATACACTCAGACAGGTAATATATAACCTCACACAACAGACTAAAGATATACACTCAGACAGGTAATATATAACCTCACACAGCAGACTAAAGATATACACTCAGACAGGTAATATATAACCTCACACAGCAGACTAAAGATATACACTCAGACAGGTAATATATAACCTCACACAGCAGACTAAAGATATACACTCAGACAGGTAATATATAACCTCACACGACAGACTAAAGATATACACTCAGACAGGTAATATATAACCTCACACAGCAGACTAAAGATATACAGTCACATAATATATAACCTCATACAACAGACTAAAGATATACACTCAGACAGGTAATATATAACCTCACACGACAGACTAAAGATATACACTCAGACAGGTAATATATAACCTCACACAGCAGACTAAAGATATACACTCACATAATATATAACCTCATACAACAGACTAAAGATATACACTCAGACAGGAAATATATAACCTCACACAACAGACTAAAGATATACACTCAGACAGGTAATATATAATCTCACACAACAGACTAAAGATATACACTCAGACAGGAAATATATAACCTCACACAACAGACTAAAGATATACACTCAGACAGGAAATATATAACCTCACACAACAGACTAAAGATATACACTCAGACAGGTAATATATAATCTCACACAACAGACTAAAGATATACACTCAGACAGGAAATATATAACCTCACACAGCAGACTAAAGATATACACTCAGACAGGAAATATATAACCTCACACAGCAGACTAAAGATATACACTCACATAGTATATAACCTCACACAACAGACTAAAGATATACACTCAGACAGGAAATATATAACCTCACACAACAGACTAAAGATATACACTCAGACAGGTAATATATAATCTCACACAACAGACTAAAGATATACACTCAGACAGGAAATATATAACCTCACACAACAGACTAAAGATATACACTCAGACAGGTAATATATAATCTCACACAACAGACTAAAGATATACACTCAGACAGGAAATATATAACCTCACACAGCAGACTAAAGATATACACTCAGACAGGAAATATATAACCTCACACAGCAGACTAAAGATATACACTCACATAGTATATAACCTCACACAACAGACTAAAGATATACACTCAGACAGGAAATATATAACCTCACACAACAGACTAAAGATATACACTCAGACAGGAAATATATAACCTCACACAGCAGACTAAAGATATACACTCAGACAGGAAATATATAACCTCACACAGCAGACTAAAGATATACACTCACATAGTATATAACCTCACACAACAGACTAAAGATATACACTCAGACAGGTAATATATAACCTCACACAACAGACTAAAGATTTACACTCAGACAGGAAATATATAACCTCACACAACAGACTAAAGATATACACTCAGACAGGAAATATATAACCTCACACAACAGACTAAAGATATACACTCAGACAGGTAATATACAACCTCACACAACAGACTAAAGATATACACTCAGATAATATATAACCACACACAACAGACTAAAGATGTACACTCAGACAGGTAATATATAACCTCACACAGCAGACTAAAGATATACACTCACAGGTAATATATAACCTCACACAACAGACTAAAGATATACACTCAGACAGGAAATATATAACCTCACACAACAGACTAAAGATATACACTCAGACAGGTAATATACAACCTCACACAACAGACTAAAGATATACACTCAGATAATATATAACCACACACAACAGACTAAAGATGTACACTCAGACAGGTAATATATAACCTCACACAGCAGACTAAAGATATACACTCAGACAGGTAATATATAACCTCACAGAACAGACTAGAGATATACACTCAAATAATATATAACCACACATAACAGATTAAAGATATACACTACATCTACACCTGTTTACATCTAGAACAGCAGAAAGTGCTTTACAACACTAAATATGAAGATTAAAGCAAAAACTACTGCAGTGTTTGTAAACGTGCTGCTCTAAACAGCAGCTGAGTGATGCTGAAGTGTTTCCCCCCCCGCTGTACTGATCACTCTGCTGCTCTAATACAGGCCTGTGTCTGTGTCTGTCTGTCTGTCTGTCTGTCTGTCTGTCTGTCTGTCTGTGTGTGTGTGTCTGTCTGTCTGTCTGTCTGTCTGTGTGTGTGTGTGTGTGTGTGTTTATTACAGCAAGCAGGCTGTGGTGTATAACTGTGTTGGCTGTGGTGCGTTTCACCTGCAGAGGATGGGAAAGAGGATTTCACAGGGCAAACAGTGAGTAACTCCCACTATTACACACCCAGTGTTTATACACCCGTTATTACTGTTTAACAGTGTGTTTGTTTCAGTATGAAGTACTCGGCTGCTACAGGACCGCCTGTCGGGCACAGCTGTGAACACTGTGGTCAGAGACACCAGGTACCTACATCATATTTACATAACCAGCTACATCACATTTACATAAACAATCGCTGACCATTATGTAGGGAATATCTGTATAACATTTAATTGTACATCTTAAAAATGTTATATTCATATCCATTTATGCATTTTGTAAAATTTTGTTTAGGCTTAATATCCATTTTGTTTATTATGTCTGTTTACACATTTTCATTAAAGAATTGTACGATATTCAAGTACCTGTTTTAAGAAGTGTTTATAATGAACTCCTGCACGTTTTAAAAAGTGTATTATGTCCATTTACACATCTTTATAAATCGTGTTTTCTGCCTGACTTCGTCTGTAAATATCCAGTGTGATTCAGACGCGTTTGTGGAGTTCTGCTGATCTGCTCTAACAAAGTCAGTAACCTGTATTTGCACTAACTGACCTGTCCACTCTTCTCTGTTCCTCGTTAAAAGCTCGGAGGTCCATTGTGGGCAGAACCCATCCATAACACGGAGTTTGTTCAGAAAGTTCTGGCGGCGGTCTCGGGGAACCCCTCTCGCTTCGGGACGTCCAAACGCATCGAGGGCGTTCTCAGCATGGTCACTGAGGTCAGTGTGAAGGTCACAGCAGTTAGAGCTGGATTAGGCTCAGTTCTGGACTAAATTATAGTGTCAGTAGTGATTCAGTACTGAAAAGCCTCTCTAGTCCAGGTTTAATCCTAATCCAGGTCTGGATTCTGTGTTCTTTCTCCTGCAGGAGCTGCAGGATGTTCCTCTGTATTATGTGCTGGACCAGCTCAGCAGCACAGTCCACTGCAACACGCCGTCCATGCTGCAGTTCAGGTACTGTAAACACAGGTGATGCTGATAGTTACAATGATGGTGGTGGTGGTGATCGTTACGGTCACGGTGGTGATGTTGATGCTGATAGTAATGATGACAGTGGTCGTGGTAATGGTGATGATAGTTACGATGGTCATGGTCGTGGTACTGGTGATGGTGATAGTTATGACAATGATGGTCGTGGTCATGGTGATGCTGATAGTTACGGTGGTGATGATGATGGTCGTGGTAATGGTGATGCTGATAGTTACAGTGATGATGGACGAGGTAATGGTGATACTGATAGTTACGGTGGTGATGATGATGGTCGTGGTAATGGTGATGCTGATAGTTACAGTGATGATGGACGAGATAATGGTGATACTGATAGTTACGGTGGGGATGATGTTCGTGGTCATGGTGATGTTGATAGTTACAGTGGTGATGATGGTCATGATCATGGTGATGCTGATAGTTACGGTGATCAAGATGATGATGGTCATGGTAATGATGCTGATAGTTAAGATGATGATGATGATGATGATGATGATGCTGATAATGATGGTCGTGGTAATGGTGATGCTGATAGTTACGGTGATGATGATGGTGGTCGTGGTAATGGTGATGCTGATAGTTACAGTGGTGAAGATGGTCGTGGTAATCGTGACGCTGACAGTTACAGTGATGATGGTTGTGGTAATGGTGATACTGATAGTTACGGTGGTGATGATTATGGTCGTGGTAATGGTGATGCTGATAGTTACGGTGATGATGATGGTCGTGGTAATGGTGATGCTTATAGTTACGGTGATGATGGTCATGGTAATGGTGACGCTGATAGTTACAGTGATGATGGTTGTGGTAATGGTGATGCTGATAGTTACGGTGGTGATGATGGTTGTGGTAATGGTGATGCTGATAGTTACAGTGGTGATGATGGTTGTGGTAATGGTGATGCTGATACTTACGGTGGTGATGATGGTTGTGGTAATGGTGATGCTGATAGTTACGGTGGTGATGATGGTTGTGTTAATGGTGGTGATGGTTGTGGTGATGCTGATAGTTACGGTGATGATGGTAATGGTGATGCTGATAGTTACGATGATGATGGTCGTGGTCATGGATGCTGATAGTTACGATGATGATGATGGTCGTAGTAATGATGCTGATAGTTAAGGTGATGATGCTGATAACGATGGTCGTGGTAATGGTGATACTGATAGTAAAGATGACTATGGTTGTGGTAATGATGATGCTGATAATTACGGTGATGATGATGATGCTGGTCATGGTAATGATGCTGATAGTTAAGATGATGATGGTCGTAGTAATGATGATGCTGATAACGATGGTCGTGGTAATGGTGATGCTGATAGTTACGGTGATGATGATGGTCGTGGTAATGGTGATGCTTATAGTTATGGTGATGATGGTCATGGTAATGGTGACGCTGATAGTTACAGTGATGATGGTTGTGGTAATGGTGGTGATGGTTGTGGTGATGCTGATAGTTACGGTGATGATGGTAATGGTGATGCTGATAGTTACGGTGGTGATGATGGTTGTGGTAATGGTGATGCTGATAGTTACGGTGGTGATGATGGTTGTGGTAATGGTGGTGATGGTTGTGGTGATGCTGATAGTTATGGTGATGATGGTAATGGTGATGCTGATAGTTACGATGATGATAATGGTCGTAGTAATGATGCTGATAGTTAAGATGATGACGCTGATAGCGATGGTCGTGGTAATGGTGATACTGATAGTAAACATGACTATGGTTGTGGTAATGATGATGCTGATAATTACGGTGATGATGATGATGATGATGATGCTGGTCATGGTAATGATGCTGATAGTTAAGATGATGGTCGTAGTAATGATGATGCTGATAACGATGGTCGTGGTAATGGTGATACTGATAGTTATGGTGATGATAATTACGGTGATGATGATGATGCTGGTCATGGTAATGATGCTGATAGTTAAGATGATGATGAAGATGGTCATGGTAATGGTGATGCTGATAGTTATAGTGATGGTGGTTGTGGTCATGGTGGTGATGCTGATAGTTACGATAAAGGTGATGATAGTGACTGTGATGATGATGATGATGCTGATGGTGACAGTGACGATGATGTTCTCTGTCCTCTCTCTCCTGTGCTCAGGTCAGCTCTACTTCATGCAGGTTATAAAGTGTCGTTCTCTCACGCCTGTAAGAACGCAGTGAAGACCGACGCCCCCGCTGGTGTGCTGTGGGACATCATGCGCTGCTGGGTGAGCGACGCCGCGTGTGTTGGTGATGAATCGTGTTTAATATGAGCAGAAACGGATTAAAAAGATCAGTTTAGATCTCAGACTCACTTTAAAGCAGCACCTACACAGATCACACACCACGTCCTGAAGAGCATCATCTGTAAAGATCCTGACTGAAACACTCAGGAACTGCCAGTCCACCCTCTCTAACGTCCTGCTGCGTCTGTCTGTCTGTCCGTCCTTCAGGAGAAGAGCAACCCGGTGAAGAGAGAGAGACTATCAGAGACCAGCCCAGCTCTCCGAATCCTCTCCACAGAACCCACGTAAGCTCCGCCTCCTTGACGCATCATCTACAGCCAATACTGCATTACACAAGCAATTAACGTCCTGCAGTTAATATTAATAGTAAACTTAAATTAACATTAATACTGTATTAGATGAGTCGCACGGTCAGTGTAGATCAGGTGGGTGTGTTTTGGTCCAGTTAGCTGACGTTAGTATTGTGACCTTGTTGTTCATATGCAGAGCACACAACGTCATGTTTCCATAGTGACTTATAGAAAATGTACCATAATTAAAAACTACAGGAGACAAAAATGTTCTTAACCTTTGTCAGTTAATATAAAGACGTTTTATTCTGAGCAGTTTTGGAGCTCAGTGGAAAGAACAGCTGACGAAAACGGAGATTGTTTTTCTATGGACAGTGATGATATGCCATATCTTCAATGTATGTAATATGTAAACACAGAAAAATATATATACGCACTTTTCTCTGTGTTCATATATAGTATATATTGAAGATATATAGCACATGGCCTCTGTGTATGTACATATATGTATGTAGTGTATGTTGCTGATATGTGGCGTATATAGACGAGTGTGTTGTGTTTCAGTCTGCAGGCGTGTTTCGATATCAGAGAGGACGCGAACCCTCAGTCACGCAAACGCCACCTCACGCGCTTCCAGGAGAACCCGCAGGCCAACTGGGGTCCTAAAGCCCGCGCCAAGGCCGGGTGGGTACACACACCACACACACACACACACACAAACTACAGCCTGTATTACAGCAGTGTTGTCAGGTAAAACATTTATATAAAACAAAATATGATAAAATGCACAATAATTATCACGATAAGTATTCTGCCAAAAAAAATGACTTCCTTCACAGGATGTGATTGTTGCCAAGCAACCACAGGCTACTGAAAGAGAACATTCAGTCGTCCATCACTGTACACTGCAGTTACTTTATCATGCAGTAATGTACATTATAATTATAATATAGCAGTGTTTATATAAAACCATTCACTTTATAAGTAGGTTTTCCTTAATTATCGCCACAACTACAGCGCTCATGTCCTTTAGCGCCTCTATGCGATTTCCAGTCTTATTTAGCACCAAGCTAACGCCCTATTTCCTCCCCATGCTGGGCTGAATCTCAGACAGTTCCCTGTTCCCTACATAGTTCACTACACAGGAGTGAAAATACCGCCCCCTGCACACAAACAGTGCATAATACAGCCAACAGTCTTTAGGAGTCAGACTCAGCTGTACTGGGCAGAAAGTGCAGAAAGGAGGGAGCTCAACGCTAAATCAGCCTGAGGTCAACACTAATTCAGCCTGAGGTCAACACTAATTCAGCCTCAGCTCAACGCTAAATCAGCCTGAGGTCAACGCTAATTCAGCCTGAGGTCAACGCTAAATCAGCCTGAGGTCAGCGCTAATTCAGTCTGAGGTCAACACTAAATCAGCCTGAGGTCAGCGCTAATTCAGCCTGAGGTCAATGCTAATTCAGCCTGAGGTCAACGCTAAATCAGCCTGAGGTCAACACTAATTCAGCCTGAGGTCAACACTAATTCAGCCAGTAAAACATGGACATTTAAAGCGTGTGAGACATTCAATCACATTCATTAGTCTTTATATGGCAGCTTTACAGTGAATCATACAGTAAGTAGCTTAATTAACACCATGTGATGTTAATGAGGGCATTATTTAGCCTGTTAGCTCTCTTTTAGCTAGCCCGTCCGCCCCTTTGCTGTCTTTTAGCCTGTGGGTTATTGACTGTTTATTCAACAGAGTAGAACACAAATCAGCCAATCAGATTTTAGCACTGAGACTGATTTATGGATCTGGTTTATGTTCATAAGAGCATTCAGGACGTTCCGCAGTCACTGTGAACTCATTTCTATTAACGTTTATTTGTAGCGGCGGTGTGTCCTCTGAGCTGGAGGACCGCAGGAAGCAGTTTCAGGGAAAACGAAAGACCCAGGTCACCGACTCCGCCCAGCTCAAAAACTTCCCCTGCAAGAAATTCCGCAAGGTACAGAGTTTTAATGCACTTTATTAGAAAAATAAAAGGTTTTATAAAAGCAGTGTTATGGTTAACATCATGGAAGAAAAACAAAACAATACATGAAAGATTCTGAAACAAAACCCTCCGGTTATTCACTTTATATTAACCTGTAACTGTATGTTTTATGCTGCGTGGTGTCCAGACTCAGTATCTGTAAGATTAAAGGCAGTATTGATCGTTATTGATTGGTAATTTTCTGTTGGAGGGGTTTACAGTGTGTTTGGTGTTTCAGGGCTGCTGCACGTACGGAGAGAAGTGCTGTTACTCCCATGATCCTCAGCATCTCACCAGCCAAGAAGAAAAGATGGAGTGATGAGTTCATCAATCTCCTTCCCACGCTGACCAATCAGAATCGCCCGTCCCACTGATGGAGCTGGACATGTTTAAATGAAAGTGCAGATCTGAGTTCACAGCGTCGGAGTCGTGCTGAACACTGAGGGTCTGTGATGAACAGTGTGTGTATATTATACAGAGAGTTGATATTCAGGTATTCTGCATTATTTGCTTTTATTTTGTTTTTCCTGGCTAATAAACTCTCACTGAACGTCCGCCTTGGGCTCGTTTGTGTCCTCCGATAAAGAGCCGACGCAGTTCTGAATAAAAAGGAGTATTTCTTTATTTATTTAGCTCATTTAGAAACCCAGTTTGATCAATACAAAAATCAATAATTCATTCATCCATAAAAGGCAAGATAAAAAAAATACATCAATCTGAAATATTGCACAAACTCTATCAGTGTGGAACAGCACTCATGAGTCCAGGCACAATGTCGACGCTTTGAAAGACCCCCAGCGCTCGGTGGAGTGGACGATAAAAACAAACCATTAAACAAACCAAATATCTCTATTTCTGTGTTTTAAGTTCTAGATAAGAATAATTCCGAAGGCCAAATGAGCACTAAGAGACGCTGAAACCCAGAAAGGCAGACCAACCTTCCGAAGTCGAGTCGTCATTCTGTAGTTGGGGTCACGACTGTACGAGGAATTCTGGGTCTAAGCCTTTTATCTGTGGGGAAAATGAACACTGAATGGGCTAAACTGGGCAGGGCTTAAAGGGGAACGCCACCAAATTTTTAATAATTCTACCGAATGAAGTGATTAAACAGAGTCATTCAGAGTGGTTTGGTGTGAAACGCTCTGTTCTAGATAATCTTACCGAGTCAGAACTGTTCACAGTGGTGGTGATAGGAACCAGACGTCCACCTCTAAAAGCTCCCTCACAGAAAGTTCCTACATGAAATGGTTATGAATTCACTGCCTGATGACTGAGACACTGTTTTATGATAGTTTTGAGAACTTAAACTCTATTCATGGTGGAGGGATACATGCAGGGCGCTGTGAGGCAAAATAGTCCCCAAAGAAAACTTATTATTTCAGATTTTCCACTATTTTCCATCATCAACATTCCATATAAACTCAGAAGACTCGTGTAGGTTCACTGGTGGTTCTGGATAGTAAATAAAATGTCTATATTTGTGTTGTAGTCATGGCGACCCCTGGTTCCTATCACCACCACTGTAAAGAAATCTGAGTGCAAGTTTCTGTACAATGAACCATTTATATGAAAC